ACTTTCAAAAGAAAACCAAAGTATAAATTCTCGAAAGAGTCGATCGAGGCACCGCGAGATTGGGTCACCACACGACGACCTGATGACGACGAGCTTTGCGCAAAGCCCCGGTCACCATATGGCGACCGGATGACATTAGCCTCGGTCGCCATATGGCAACCGGCTTGGCGCAAAGCCATGGTCACCATATGGCGACCGGATGACGTCAGCCACGATCTCCATATGGCGACCTGTTTGGCAAAAATCCCCGGTCACCATATGGCAACCGACTTGGCACAAAGCCCCGGTGTCGCCATATCTGGCTAAGCACAAAACCCCGGTCGCCATATGGCGACTAGATGACGTCAGCCTCAATTGCCATATGGTGACCGGCTTGGTGCAAAGTCTGGGTTGCCATATGGCGACCAAAATGCATCTCCCAGGTCGCCATATAGCAGCCCATTCTGTTCTCCTTTGATTTTTGATCGAAATGTCTTTCGTTTGTCCAAATCAGAGTTTTCGATGATATTTTACAAATCAAACAAGCTGCACGGCTCTCAGTTCGCCATATGGTGACGTGAGAGGTTGGTCACCATATGGCGACCCCATCTTTTTCTCCTTCGAGTCTCAATCGAAATGTCTTTTGTTTCATCCAAATCGAAGTTTTCGATGAAAACAAGTAAAAAGCAAACAAGCTACACGGCTCTTAGTTCGCCATATGGCGACCGAGACAGCTCTCAGGTCACCATATGGCAACCGGGACAACTCCCATGTCGCCATATGGCGACTCCATCTTGTTCTTCTTTGATTATCGATCGAAATGTCTTTCATTCCGTCCCAATCGAAGTTTCTGCTTGGATTTTACGAAGAAAACAAGCAACATATGTTTTCTCGTAAAAGTTCAAGTCAAAGCGTCGAGATGATATAAGTTAACTTAAACACCATTGTATCTTTGACTTAAGGAATTTATCTGGTTCAGTTTGTAAGACCAGCGTCATAGAAAATGGGGATCTGAAAACTCGACGATATCTCTGAGAATAATCATAAAAAACCCTTAAGTCATAAAACGGTCTCAACCGACCTGCAACACGACGAAAGCCCATTCATGGTTTAACGCAGGAATATGCCCAAATTTAATGACGGTCTAACTCGCTCTTCGTAATGGAAAAGAGGATAAACGCGAGGTTTCCAAGATAAACATGAATCTTGACAAGATAAGGAAAACTTCCGAAAAGAGATAAACTTGGGCCCAAAAGTGAAGCCGACCTTGGATGCCTATATAAAGGGAGCCAAAGCAAGGATCACAAAATAACTTTTTTTAGATTTAGAATTCTCTGCACTTAGAGATCTTAGGCTTTATTTTCGACAAGTTCGGTTTCTATGTCTGGCACACGAATACTAGATGAACTCGCCCATGCAGTTCGATCTCTTGTCGAGCTCTTTCAATTGAACTACGTTCGGCTTGATCCTTGAAAGGGGTACGTAGGCAGCCTTTGATAAGGTTCAGTCCGAAACCAATCAAAACCTTTTTCGTATCTTTTTCGTCTTTTGTCATCGAGCTGCGACTCAACTAGGTTTAAGGTTTTTGGTAGGTAAAACTAGGTAACTCGTTAACAGCTCTTGCGGCCGAAGCTTTTATAATCTTTTGTAATGATTGCAATGCTCTTACGCGGATTCGAAATAAGATCTACGATTTTCTCTAAATTCGATTTAATATCTTTTCATACTTTCTGCATCTATTTGGTTACTTGTCGTTGGCTCTCGCAGAGAATCCGAGACATCTGGAAAATTAGAGTTTTTCTAACTTTTCTAATTCAACTGAAATCGACATCGCGAATTTTGATTCCCACATCTGATATGATATTTGCCCCAACAGGGGGAAATCAAGAATTGTAGTTCCCTTTGAACTTGGAATCTTGTTCTTGAAATGTATATATTTAAACAAAAAAATACACGCTATATCTTAATTAAGAGACTCCAAAAATTTTCAAAAACTTCAACACCATTTCTTTTAATTCCTATTGACCCCAAGGCTCTTCTTTGCTACATTCAAAATACAAAATGATGAATATGGTTTGTCTAGTCGTTAGTGTAGGTGAAGAAGATAACTCTACAGAGGTTTTACTTGTTCCACCAGAGTGCTTACAAGTCATGAATCAAAGAGCAGAACAAACCATTGTACATTGTACTATTTACTTTTTGTTCACAATATAGTTTACTTCTAATTATTTCATAATGTTTTAATAGCAATAAAATTATATCTAAATATATTTAAATTGTATGATTGCATATACATCAAGGATGTAATAATCATATGAAATCGAATTTATAAAATATAGTGGATATATACACGTGAAATTCTTATTTTACAAAAGAATATATTCTAAAATATAGAAATATAAAAATCAAAATCTTTATAAATTAACAGTTCTAAAGATTAATTATACTACTAGCATTATTAATTTATAGACTGTTTCTGTAATATAATTTGCGGTAACCTATAAAAAACCGGCGTTACTGAGTTGCGACTTACGAATTATACATTGTCCTGGTCAAGAATAGATGATAATGAAGAGAAAAAACAAGCGAGGTTTGATACGTTTTTTCCAAGTTCAAAGCTTTTAATTCTCGGTCAAAAACGTGGAGTAAATAAAGACAAAACTAAATAAGACTATAAGAAAATTTCGAAACTAACAAAACTATAATATAGTCAAGCAAGTCATGAATAGTAAATTCTTATTCTACATCAATAGTAATTTATTATTGTACTAAATAAGTCTGATTTAAACATATAACTTTTATTTTTAAAGTTAAACTCTAGCTACATCCCTTACATCAACTCCAACTTTATTTTTTTTTTTGCTCATTTTTTTTATTTTTCTTCTTAAATTAACCTTTAAATGTTTTAAATTTTTCGTATCTTTCTCAACAAAATAACATATAAAAAAAGTTTCAAGAAAACATTAAAAACTATAGAATAAATCTTACAGTCAAATTTTACATCTACTGTCCAACCAATCATCTCTATTATAATACTAAGGAAAATAATAATTTGAGAAGTTTGATCTAACCAAATAATTTGGATTCATTGTTTGGTGACTTTTCTAATTTTTGAAAAGAAAATCACATAATTTGTTTTCTAAAAGCTTCAGGTATTTGGGCCATCACACAAGTAATTTCTATATCAAAATGTTTTAATAAGTTAATCAATTATGTTTTAATAAGTTAATCAAAGATATTTTCCAATGATGTCCTTACAAAGGTCTAAATTAGTCAAGAAAGTCATCAGTCGGAGCCTTTAATGATGATTACATAACAAAACATCACTTATATATTAAAAAATATATTCACAATATAATGGATACATGATAGCTTTATAAAGATTTGATAATAAATATAATGACATGTTAACACTATATTCGTAACTGTGTTCACATTATATTCATAAATATGTTCACACTATATATTTTATTTTATTCAATTTAAAATTCACATGCATGGCTAATTAAAACTCTGAATTTTTTGGTTCAGATCAAAACATATTACGAATCAAAAACTAAATTATTTACATGTATATTACTATTATTATATATGGATAAAACTTGGAAAAATATTCATAAATTTAGATACAATTTTTTATTCATCTTGATTTGAACTAAAAAAATCTGGATATCAGTAACTTTACGGAACAAATCAAATACTAAAATACAATATTCGAAAAAGAAACAAATTCCAAATACCAATATTTTTATGAACAGATATATATGCACACATATATATATACATATATGAAAATAATTATATATACATATATATAATAGATTATAATTTTTACAATATTATTATGTATTAAATTTATTATATTAAGTACTAGAATTTTTTAAAAATTAAATAATATTTATTTTGTGATAAAATAATATCATTTATTTTTATTTATTTTTAAATTTTTTATTTTATTTACGGATCAACTCGGATATTTTTAAAAATTCTAAAAAATTTCAAATTTCCGAATCACAGAATATTCAGGTGACTAAAGATCGAACTGACATAAATGCTTCCAAATATTTGGATATTCGATTCCTGCCCACCCATATTTACGGATACAATTTTATTTTATTTATATGAAAAATTCACTAATGTCTATGTCTATTTTATTTTTAATTAGTTTGATTTATAAATGTTTTATCTTTCATGTCTTATTTTGAACAAAAATGTTAGTTAGTATTAATTAATAGTATTTTTATATATTTATCATCTATTTTGTATACTTTTACATACATGTATATGTACACATTGATGTGAGTGTCTTATAACTAAGTATTCACCACAACTGAAGTATTTATTTTTTTAAAAATTAAAATATTATTTTTCTTAATGCTTCTTTTACTACCGACCAAATTGTATTACTACCGACCAAATTGTAGTAAAATGATTTGTTTTAATAATTTTTCTTTCTTTTTTCTTTAACTATTATTCATTTAGAAAACATAATATGAAACCATTAGTTCGACATCACGACTATCTAAAATTCATAACATGAAAACAAACAAATAATAGTAATTTTTGGATGTCACCAAAAATATCAAAAACATCAAAACAATTAACTGAACAAACCAAAATAAATATTGATTTAAAATGATAATTATATTTTAGGATATTAAAAACAAAAAAAACAACCTAAAACTGAACATATATTCAGATTAAAAAAATTAAAATTTCTTTATTAAAAATAATTAAACTAACAATTATATTCTGCGTAAAGCGCAGATTATTACCTAGTTATATATATTAACAAACAAACAAAAATTAGATGCGCATTAATTAATTGCTTTTGGCAGGATAATAAAATCCAATTCAAACAATTCTATAAAATTTTATTGTTGTCAATGTAAAACTATTTATAAATGATATCCTTAAGAATCTAACAACGGTCAACAATGGTTAGCTACCTGTCCATTACATAGCACTACTACATAAAACGTGGAAGATTCAAAACCAAGTAGGTGGGTCTACCAAAACCTATCTCATATAAATACACATATAATCTGTGTCTTCGTCTATATCTCTATCTTATAACTCTAATCATTCTCTCTCTCTTGTGTTTTCTGTCACCGAGAAAATGGTTGAGCAGAAAAGGTTCGCTCTGTTTCTAGCGACTCTTGATTCAGAGTTCGTGAAGAAAACGTACGGAGGATACCATAACGTGTTTGTGGAAACGTTTGGAGACGAAGGAGAGCACTGGGACTCGTTTAGGGTTGTCGAGGGCGAGTTTCCTGAGGAGAAAGATCTTGAGAAGTATGATGGTTTCGTTATTAGCGGAAGCTCTCACGATTCTTTTGAGAATGACCCTTGGATTCTTAAGCTATGTGAGATCGTCAAGAAACTTGATGAGATGAAGAAGAAAGTTCTTGGCATCTGCTTCGGTCACCAGGTTCTGTTTTTTTTTTCTATTATTATCCCTTGCTTTTTAAAAAGAATTCTTTCTTTTATAGTATTAACTTTTGATTTTAAACTGAACCATTTTACTTATTGAGTGATATTAATTAGTTGTAGCATATATATTTCTTTTTTGAAACTTATGTTGTAGCATATAAATTTCTTTTTTGAAACTTATGTTGTAGCATATATATTTAGTGACATGAATAATGTATTAAAAAAGTGGTAAAGTTGAAAATTTCCCAATAAAGATACCCTTCTACTCATACAGAAAATTATTGGCATGGTATTCACTATTACGATTTTTCTTATGCTAGTACGTCTTATTCATAACTTTGTTGATTCTAGGTTTTTAGCCATTTTAGAGCATTTTATGAAGCCTATTTTGATGAGTTTTTCATTATTGAAAACAAAAGAAAAAAGTGAAAAGAATAAAAAATAATTTTCAAATAGAAATTCCAAAAAAATGGAGAAATTTTCAGACCAGTTGAATGCGTGTATTAACTTATACAGGTTTATAAGTTTTAATATAATTACATCTCGTAGTTGTAGTAAAACTACTACTATTATTATAGTGAAATACTCGCATGATTTTTTACGTACCAATAACGATGTTATAATCGGATTTTGTGTAAAATTTTCGAGTTGCAAAAGATAAGATGCCCATTAAAATAATAAATTCAAGTTAAATTGGTCATTATTTCTGATTGGTATAATGCTTTTGAAATTAACAAATGCATCATACTCGTTTGTATAATTTTTGCGATTAGGGGTGAAATATTTACGAATGAACTAGTGAAGAAGTATTTAATAAGCTTGGCAATAAGTTAGGATCTACTAGAATATTTGATACACACTTACCAGTTATGTAATGTTTTGAAGATTATAAGATCCCTCTAATCAGAAAATTTCTAATAGATCATAGCCAGAGTAAGAGGAGGAACTGTAGGAAGAGCAAGGAAGGGACCAGAACTTAAACTTGCGGACATAACCATCGTGAAAGATGCGATTACACCGGGAAGTTACTTCGGAAACGAGATCCCGGATAGCATAGCGATCATAAAACTACACCAGGATGAAGTGTTAGTGTTGCCGGAAACTGCCAAAGTACTAGCTTATTCCGACAAGTACGAGGTGGAGATGTACACCATTGAGGATCATTTCTTCTGTCTTCAAGGACATCCTGAGTACAACAGAGACATTCTCTTTGAGATCGTAGATCGTGTTCTTAGTCTTGGCTACATCACGGTTAGCTTCATTTCCCTGTATCCCCCTTTAAACACAGTTTATAATATAAATTTTTTTTTTACCAAAACTAGAACTTGGTAAATAATTTTTTATTTTGTATAGATATGGTGTGTATTTTGATAAATAATGGTATTAATTGTGTAGCAAGAAATGGCGGATTCGGCAAAGGCCACCCTGAAGAATAGGGGAGCAGACAGGAAACTATTGGAGAAGATTTGCAAGAATTTTCTCAAAGGCAGAGTTCCAGCTAATTAGTTTCACTCCCATATGATCTATTTGGCTCTTGTTATATTTGTGAATTTATTATCTTGCGTGATTTCAATACAATGTATAATAACAACCTAGTGTGACATCTTTATTTATGTTCTGTTTACACCCCATGATGAAATGAATTTAATAAACACCATTTATAGGTTTTTGCATGCACAATAATAATAATAATTTTCTTTTGTCAACCTTTAAATAATTTATTAGTATTTGTATTCACACGTTGACGCCATTTATACTATTTAGCATGCACATATTGACAACAAAATAATTTTGATCTGTTAAACGAAATATATTAATGATTGGTGTCATCACATCAATTAACAAATGCATACTTTGAAATCATATAAACATGTCACGAATATAAAGTCATGACTTCACTTTATATGTGATATTTTAAAATGGACCATCTACTAAAATTTATGACATGACATTATTCAATCATTAATAACATTTATTAAATTCACTAATAACATTTATTGGGGTTATTGGGCTGATAAAAATTAGATGATCCATTGGATTTATAGATGTTATAATAAAATACATGTTTAAATTAAACTTATATAATTTAATATTGTAATAGTATAAGTTAATTATTTATGTATTTTTGATGTTAACTTTAAAAATTATATAGCATATTTTTAAAAATAATAAAATCATCATTCTCTAACAATAATTAATTTATACTATATAATAATTAATCATCATTTTTTATATACACACCTTATATAATATATACCAATTTAGAAATAAAAAAAATATTTATATAAAAATAAATGAAAACAAATATCCGCGTGGTTGTGCGGATTGAGATCTAGTATAGATTAAAACTCCAAGTTATAAAATTTATCGTATTATAAACATGTCCAAAATATTTATCTCCATGAACAATATATGTCACTATTAGAGCGTCACAGGAACTTAATATCCAAAATTTCAAATATGATTGAACTCATGAACTATAGTATAAAACATTCCATATAAAGACATACATTTATACATCTCCTATATATTAAAATAGAACACTTGACATTAAAGCATTTACACTATACTTTCTATCTGAGAATGAATATACTGATGTGTTTCATATGGAGAATTTGTCATTCAAAATCTACATAAATATGCTTTTTTTTTTTTTTTTTTTTTTGACAACGAAAGGCTGATCTATTACTCAAGTTTGAGGTGGTCTGGGGAGCCAGACCGGAATAGAACAACCAACATACATAAGATCCCGATAAAAGGATCGGGCAGTCTTAGCTAAATGATCTGGCACAGTATTTAGAGCTCGAGGTACATAAGAAATCTGAAAATCTGGGAAACAAATCCGTAATGTCGAGATCCTCTCTAGTTCCGTCGAAAAGCTTGACCATCCGTGAGGGTCTTTTAGCATTGCTACCAAATCCTTACAATCCGTCCCAAAGCTCTGACATGGCGAATGTTGAAGCATGTTCTCCATTGTCCACCGCAGCGCCTCCAGCTCAGAATGCAAAGCCGACTCCACTCTACTCACATTACGCATCCCCATCAGATGACTATTTCCCAAGCTATCCCTCCACTCCCATCCACAACCAGAAAATTGATCCGTAGAGGTCCAAGAACCATCTATCATGCAAATGTTGCGTAGGCTTATGACCTGCCGCTCAGTGTCTCCGTCCTCTTGTGTAATCATAATATCCTGCTCATTAGCCTGGAACCAGGCAAGACACTCGCTCTCTGCATACCGGGCCAATTCCAGAGGATCCCTATCAATACCTCTAAACAGCTTATCATTCCGAGCCTTCCAAATGTACCATATCAACCAAGGAAAAGGATCTCTGTCTAGTTCTGGTCCACAAATACTCTTCTTCCGCCAAAACAGATAATCCATATTCGAATAAGTGCTCTCCAAAGGGAATAAAGAAACACTGGTTGTAATCGATGACAGGGCCCATACTTGTAAAGCTGGTGGACATTGGAATATTGCATGTGTAATTGTTTCATCCAGTTCTCCGCATCGTGGACAGACATTATCGCACCTTATGTGTCTGCGATTCAGCGCACTCGTAACAGCCACCTGCCCCGATATAATCTGCCACATAAGATGACACATCTTTGGGGGCGCTTTAACCTTCCAAACTTGTGCTTGGAGCCTTTTAAAGCTTGGTTCGTCTACTAAGATCTCATCCTCTTTCATAAGTATATTACGAGCTACCCAATAGCCAGACTTAATTGTATATTGTCCACTCCTAGTGTAACTTCAGCAGTGTGTATCTCTGCGATAGGTCGAACTGATAGCTATACTCCGTATGAGAGGTATATCATCCGCGTCGACATATCTTGTCAGCTTGTCCAAGTCCCAAGACTTTGTTTCCTGATTGATAAGATCACTCACTCGCATATTTGGATGCATAACCGGGGCTGTTGCATGTGCTGGTCTCGCTGGGATTGTTGGAATCCATGGATCCTCCCATGCCTTCACTTCATACCCTGAATGAATCTTTTGTCTAACCCCTAGTAACAATAATTCACGTGCAGCCGAGATACTTGTCCACACATACGATGGGCTGCTGACAGTAAGCTTCCGCAAAGGCGTGCTTGATCTATAATATCGCCCTCTCATAACACGAGCAACCAATGAGTCCGGGTTTTGGACTAATCTCCACAGCTGCTTTGCCAGCAATGCCAGGTTAAACTCATGTATCAATCTGAATCCGATGCCGCCCTCGTCTTTAGGTAGACATAACTTATCATATGTAGTCCAGTGTAAGCCTCTCTTTAGTATACATAAATATGTTTACATTGTATTATTTTACATTTTTTAAATATAAAACTCACATATGTAAGTTTATGGATTATATAAATATTTCATATAAAAAGACAGCTAAATTCACTAATGTATAAACCTATTTTATTTTTATTTATAATTTTATCTTTCATATGTTATTTTAAATAAAAATATATTTTAATGTTAATTAATAGTATCTTTATATATTTATCAATTAATATAGTATACTTTTATATATATATATATATGCACATTGACGTAAATATCTATATATTTATCAATTTGAGAATTTTATATCTCTTAAAAATTGAAATATTCCTTTTTAATATTTTTTTCACCATCGACCAAATTGTAATAAAATGATTTATCTTAGTAATTTTCTTTTTTTTCTTCAAAAAAAGAAACTATTATGTAGATTTGATTTTATTTTTAATGTATTTCGAAATTATAATATGAAATAACTAGTTTGATATTAAAACTGCCTAAAATTCATATAACATGAAATCAACAAATAATAATAGAAAAACTTAAATGTTAACTAAACAAATCAAAATAAATATAAATTTAGAATGTTAAATTGATATCCATTTTTTTTTAGGTGTAATATTCTGTTATCGTAAAAAGTAATAAATTAATAATTTCATTATGTTCAAGGCATGAATATTATCTAGTTGTATATTATTAGACTAGAATCATGAAATAGCAAATGTAACCATGGGATACACGTGAACGTGTATTTTGTTTGATTATCTTTTTGTGATTAGCGGTGGAGTATTCTTTTGGTTTTCACATAAAGATACAGACGTTAATAAAATAAAATAAAATAAAAGTCTCAACCTTTATTTAAGGGATCTTCCCATCATCCATGTAGGATTCTCCAAAACGTATATTCACATATTTACAGCGTCTGCGAGCGAGCGAGCGATCATCTTCTCTATTACAAAGCTGACCTCTTTTTCCCCGAGAATCAAAACAAAAAAACAATAACAATGGTGGTGGTTGAGCAGCACGACAAGAAGAAGTCGAAGAGGTTCGCTCTGTTTCTCGCCACGTGCGACTCAGAGTTCGTGAAGAAAGCTTACGGCGGCTACTTCAACGTCTTCGTCTCCAGTTTCGGCGACGAAGGCGAGCAATGGGATCTCTTCCGAGTCGTCGACGGCGATTTCCCCGACGAGAAAGATCTCGATAGCTACGACGGTTTTATCATCAGCGGTAGCCCGCATGACGCATTCGCGGACGCTGATTGGATCGTTAAGCTTTGCTCGCTTTGTGAGAAGCTTGATGAGATGAAGAAGAAGGTTCTCGGCATCTGTTTCGGCCACCAGGTTAGGCTTTCTCTGCTCGAATTCGTGGATTCTTTAGGGTTTTATAATAATGTTACGTTCCTTTGACGGGTGTGAGGGGCTCTGTTTCAGCAAGTGTTAAAGTCTCAGACTTTGGTAATGTTTTAGTTAATGGGCATTTCTAGAATTTCATTTTGTTGAACAAATTTAAATATTTTTAGTCAAAAGCCTCAGACTTTACCTCATTTGATGGTCAAAACGTTAGAGCTCTGTATCTGGTGAAAAGTCTCAGACTTTGGTAATGTATTACTGGGCATTTCTAGATTCCATGTTGTTGACATCTTCATGCTGTGAAATAAAGTCCCAGACTTTGGTAATCTCTAGATAATAACTTGTTTTTTCAAGATTCCATGTTCATTTTGTAACATCTCTTCATGTTGATCTATAGTTTACTTGGCATTTCCAGATTCCATGTTGTTGCACTGCAAATTTTATGAGGTCTTCATGATATCTTAACTTCATAGATTTGCTTACTCTTGATGTTGATCTGAATGGTTAAATATTTGTATCCCTACCATTCTTTATCTCTAGTTTGTTTGACTCCCTGAAGAGAGTGTCAAATGCTTTTGGTACTCTTGCATCATTTTATTTGCTATGTAGCGTGAAGATATTTTTTTTTTATTAAACGGTTTTGTTTGATCCATGGGAGTGTTTCTCTCTTCTTTTTTTATATCCAGATAATAACTAGAGTCAAAGGAGGGAAAATAGGAAGGGCTAGTCAAGGCCCAGACATGGGACTAAGAACCATAACCATAGCAAAGGACAAGGAGAAACTCGGCCTTTACTTTGGAGACGAGGTCCCTGCATCTTTAGCCATTGTAAAATGCCATCAAGACCAAGTGCTGGAACTTCCTGACTCTGCCACAGTCTTGGCCTCTTCCGAGGTATGCCAAGTCGAGATGTTCTCAATTGGAGACCACTTCCTATGCATCCAAGGTCATCCTGAGTATAACAAAGAGATTCTCTTTGAGATTGTGGACCGTGTCCTCAACATGAAGCTTATGGAGGTTTGTTTGTTCATTGCCCCCCTCTTATGTCGTTTAACTTCATCGAAACGTTTCAAGTATTGCAATGTGATTGATCTTTAATTTCTTGGTTTTTTGTTTTTTCAGCAAGAGTTTGCGGATAAGGCTAAGAGTACCATGGAGACTGCGCAGCCAGACAAGGATCTATGGCAGAAGCTCTGTAAAAACTTTCTGAAAGGTCAAATCTGAGCATGCATAGTTTTGCTTTGCCATCTCTTGATGCAAACCTGCAAACTTCCTTCGTATTTATCTTTAACAAACATTAAGAAAAACATAAAAAAAAAAATAATCAGAAATAATCATTTTATATTTGCCCCCACCTGTTTCTTAGTATTACAATCCAAATCAAACTAAAAAAATACAAATTCAATCAGTGTCAAAAGCGTTCATAGAAGTATAACGTATTTCAATAGATTTTTGTTTATCAAAAATAGAATATCTTTTTCTTTCATCAAGTAAAATTATATTGCCTTCTCACTTCTCATTATTCACCAGAGACGCTGGAAAAAAAAATTACAGCGTTTGAGATAAGAATCAAGAGACTCATCTCACTTTTGATTGAACACTAGTATATATAAAGCGTTTTATATAGACCAGAGACTGATTTAAAAAAGGCTGATGGGTAAACACAGATCTTACTCATATCTTCTGTCCTAACTTGGCACTTACATGAATAAAAACTCAAAACTTTATGTTTTCTTGTTCTTGTCAAGCTCTGCTGTATTCGAGATGGGTAATACGAAAGTAATTGCAGCTGTTTATGGCCCTAGAGAGGTACTCTATGATTGATGATGATGATGCCATTTTATGGCCCTTGTATGTCTTTTGCTCCTTCAGATTCAAAACAAGAGCCAAAGAATGGTCATGCATTGGTATGTATATATTTTGATCTTTTTTTTTGTGTACATTCTTCTTGGCGTAAAGCTTTGTGAATTTTGAGTGAACAGTATATATAAAGTGTTCAATATAGACCAAAGACTGATTCAAAACAGCAACAGAACCTCGTCAAGAACTCACGAGTGTGTGTGTGTGTGTTGTGTTCTTAAGAAAGACAAAAAAAAAAAAAAAAACTGTATTGTCTTACCATGAACTTTCAAAGGATCACATCGGTGACATATATGATATCTAAGTGAAACGGCTGTACTAGTAATTAATCATAATTAATTTCTTAACTGGGATTCACACAGTAATTAAAAAGTCACTAAAACTCGGTGTATTTTCTAAAATTTTATCATATCAGGCTATCACCCATCAATATACATATATATATATATATATATATATATATATATATATATATTGTCTTGGTATGAATTTGTATAGAGTTAGGAATCTTGTTTTAGTAGATCAGATCATGATTCAAACCGTAAGAATAGACTTTCGAGAGTGAATATCACATAACACAAATCAAAAGAGAGAGAGATCTTTTATGTTGATAAAAAGAGGGAACAAAAGAAAACTTAACAATCTGAAGAAAAAATCATGCTAAAATTTGGAAACAATAAACGCTACATTCTCACGACCAATCCCGCTAAGCCATAGCCAAACCAATCGCAACCGCGGTCAAGAACAAACCGCTTCCAACATTTAATCCAACCGCAGCGTTATGGGCTGGAGCTGAAGCTGGAGTTTTAGCCTGAGGACTAACAGGAGTAACCATGGGACTGCCACCGTCTCCGCCGTCACGGCTACCACCACCACCAGGGTTGCGTTCAGCCAATACAACAATATGAATCTTTTCGCCTTTAGCGCAGTGATCAGGAGCACCACTGATGAAGAAGTGAGCTCCTGAATTTTCTAACTCGATCTCTGTGTCTCCATCATTGAATTGCTTCAAGGGATTTGCTGTGTTACAAGTATCATAATCTTCTTTTGTCACTTTTAACACAGAATCAACTTTCCCGTCGTACTTCCACACTAATCCACATGCATCCATGAACACATCGTTATAATATATATTATATGGCATGCATGAAATCATGCTTTTAGAATATAAAGGGAAAAAAAAACTTATTACTAAACCAAACTTGTGAAATGGATATTTATTCATGAATACATCATTATAAAACCTTATAGTATATCAAATATGTGATATATGATTGCATGAAATCATGTTTCCGGAGATTAAAGGAAAAAAAATAAACCAAACTTGTGAAATGAATATGTGAATTCATCATTATAAACCCTCAAATATATAATATGCTTGCGGAATATAAAGGAAGAGCCATTAGTAAACCAACTACTTGTGAAAGAGATATTTATGCATAAATACATCATTAGAAAACCAATATAGTTTACCAAATACAAGCATGAAATCATGGTTTCAGAATATTAAAGGAAAAATCATAAGTAAACCAAACTTGTGAAATGGATATTTATGCATGTGAAGAGATGTAGAAAGATAATAATATAGAGTACCGAGAATGTCTCCGACTTTGAAACGATTGTTCTCAGCCCATTGATTGAGAGTGTTGGTGGAAGAATCTGGAACCTTCCATGCCTGTGCAGATCCGCCGACCAGAATCATCCTCGGTTTGGAGGCAGCATGGCTCACTGTGGTGAGTAAGAGGAAAACAAGAGTCAAAACTGGAACTATGATACCCATTTTCTTGACCTCTTCTTTAGTAGGAACAACGCTTTGGTTAGTTTTGTTTTGGGTGTTAGTCTCTCGTTTGTATTTGTTTTCACAAAGGTGAAGAAGATTGGAAGTGGTGGATACTGTTTATATAGCAATTTTTGGGTTGGAGTTTAACTGCGTTTTCTGCTTTTAAAACCTGGTCTTAATTAATACTAAAGTGTGTCCGTCAGTTTTTAATCACTTTTTATTACGAAATTAATGTTTCAGCATTTATTAATAAATTTCGAAACCGACATGAACTCTTTGGTTTGAAATTTCTAATAGACTTTATACTGAATAGGGGGTTAAAGTTTTTTCAAAAACAATTAATAAGAGCTAATAAAACAGTACCTCTAACTCTCGTATTAGTGTTATACGTTAAGGTACAGAGCCGTTGGGGTCGAGAACGAAGTCAAACATGTTAATGGCTATTAATTAGTAGAGAGCGACGACAGATTTAAACGTTTTTTTTTTCCTTAAAACATATCCAGACATTGGCTTTAACTGATCGCACGAATTACCATTATTATTTTGACTTATGAATCTAAATCAAAGATAAATTCTAGACGTTAGGAGGAGTCTACATTCGAAAAAGAACTAATTTAAATTCGTTTTGAAAGAATGTAACAGGTCTACTAGTCATTCAACTGGAAATCTTTTAGCATGTAACAAGATAGATAATGGTGCATACTTTTCATTTAACGACTCTACACCAATTTCGCCAGAGTATAGCATTCGAATTTTAAGTCTCGTTCTTTACATGTATAGCCGCCAATGCCTCTAACCATTTGATGAGATATCTGGTCAAATGGCTTAGATTGAGAATGTTAGAGATGAATCATCTCATATGATTTAAAGCAAGTTACAAGACTTTTGGCATGATTATGATTATTAGTCTATAGTTCAGAACAAAAATTACATCATATAAAGACATGGGAAGGGACAACAAAACCGGTTCCAATTTTTGTCTCAACAAGTTTTCATGGAACAAACGTAAGGCTATATGACTTTATTTACCATAATATTGTAAACTTTATATATAGATAAACATTATTTTAATTTTGAAAATTTATTGGAAAGAATTATTTATCTGAAGTTTGTTTTCAAGTTTCCACTAAAAGATGCATGCAATTGCAAACACAATTCTGGCTACCAGATTAGAATCCATTCCGAGTAAATTCTTGTTTTGTCTTCTTCTGTTTAAAGCTTCTTGATTCATCTCCACATTTTGGAAACCAGAAAACGATTTGAATTCAAGAAAATTGTTGATATTCAAAGAAGTACAAGGAGGGTTCAAATATTTCTCTCTGGTTCATTAGAGTTGAGTACAGAGGTATAGTTATGTTTTCCCGATTGATATACAAAAACAAACTGGACTTTTCTCTCATACTGAAAGTTTGAGTGTAAAGAGACAAAAAAAAAAAAAAGATGTGGTTTCTGTTACTTTAATCCATCACTGAGACCTGGTGGCATCCCTAAGCTCTGGGCTAGATCACTCATTCTTTCTTTCATAGCCTATGAAATCAAAAGGGATATATTAGGCAGGAGATTAAAGAGAATGAATTCTGCAAATAACTGTATCGTAATATATGGAATGTGATTTCTTTTTACCAGTACACTCTTTGCATGTGCATCCTTGTATGCTTCTGTAACTAGTAGTGATAGTTTCTGCCAAAGGGAAAAAAAAAACATGAAACATGAGAAGATGAAGGGAATATAGCTTTTGATCATCTCCTTGATAAGAAGTAAACGCAAGAGAAAGTAACTCACTTCGGAACCTAACTCCATAGCTGCATCAGTGATATCAGTGCGGATTGGTTGCTGGTTACCAGATAATGTAACCTGGATACAGATTCAAACTTCTAAATGGTCATATGCCACATAAGAGATAGAATCAAACAAAGACATAGCACTCTGATTGACTGGTTGTGTAATTTATTCATAAAAGTAACAAATTTTGTATTTGTACATAGATCAAATGTGGAGTAGTTAAATGAGACCAAAACCTAACGTAGTGTGAAATGGATCTAATTATGAGAGATCAAAAGAGTGTGTAAATAATAAGAATACCTTGACAAGCTCGCCTTCACAGTAACCATCAAACTCAGCACTGAAAAAAAAAAAAAAAGCAGTATCAAACACATTGAGACGTGAGAAGAAAACTAAAGTAATGTGTAAGAGGAGGGACATACACAGCAAGCTCCTTCTGGACACGAACAGCCTCAACTTGGACAACCATTTGAGCTTTCTTCACAGTCTCATACAGATTCTGCATATTACCAAGTATCCCTGCCTACGTGTCCCAAACAAACATAATAACAACAAACTCAATTCAGCTATGCAAAATCTAAAAGCTTGTACAGAGCAGCAAAGTTGGCACCTTTGATTGTGCATTGTCCTCGTTATTGTCCTTCTTTCCACCTCCGAACAACCCATTAACACGAAGAGACCTGTTAGGGTTCTTCTGATTCAACCACGCCACGTTGTTCTGTCTACTACTACTTTGTTGCGCCTTGTTCCCTGAAATTAAAAAAAAAAAAAAAACAATGGAAGTCAAATTGAATTGTGTAATTGAGATGTAAAATCACACTTGTGACTTTCGAAAGATTCAAAATTTAGATTTCGAAAGCTCATTAAACCCACAAAGTTACACACTTAAATTCACACATACATACACTCAAGCACATACCTATGGAAACAAAACCCGAGAGATATAGAGAGAGGCTAACCATTGGAGAAGGGAGAGAGGAACGGCTTGAAGAAATCAGTTGTAGTCGCCGTCGAAGCCATTGTTCTCCTCCGAGAGAGAGAGAAAGCTCGTCGAATTCGAGAAGATAAACGGAGAGGAAGGAGGAGATATTTTCTATTAACGAATGAGACGATGACACGTCATCATACGTAGGATCTTTTAATGAGCTTCTTGGGCTTTGTTTGATGGCCCCATAAAATAAATTGGATAGGATGACTGGATGGGATAATTCGAAAACCACAACTGAGTATTCTCCAAGTCGGTGTTAAATTTAGAATAGATATAAAGAGAATTGTATAAAATTAGTGTAAATTTTATATAGAAATGGAATATATAAGAAGTTTTGAGGTGATTGATTTTTTTTTATAAAAAAATCCATATAAATCTATTATATTAAAACAGAAGTCATGACTCATTTCATGTGTGATTTTGTAGTTTGAACCATCTTAGAAAATTTATAAAATCTTACATAACATCATTATAATATCTTTTCATATCTTTAATTTTTATTTGAAATACAAATAAATATTATTTTTAGGAAAATCTAACACAATCTTTTAGAATCTTTTTAGGATATATTTTCGAAAATTATTATCATAAAATACAATTAAAAATTTAATTCATTTTTGATTTATAAACAAAAATTAAATTATGTAAAATACTTTTAATACTATCCCAAAAATTTGTTTATGTATTATGTAGGTCCAACTTAATTTATTTTTTACATATATTTCAAATTTAGAAATAAAACAAAATATATAAATTTGTTATGTTACATAATAATGTTTTAAAAAATTCTTACAAAAATACAAATTTTATAAGTTTTATATTAATAATATTATAAGCTGCATTAACATTATTATACATTTAAATAGTACATAACATCAAATTATATTTATTATATAATTTAAATATTTTAGTATTCAAATACCCGCACGGTCGTGCGGGTCGAGATCTAGTTATATATTAAATATAAAAGTTATCAAGATTTTAGTTATTATTTTTGTCAATTATGTGAATTCATATCAGTTAAATGGTAAGAAGATACAATAAATTTTGGATCTAATCTTGCTAGAAGCAAATTCCTATCTAAATGTCCCCCTAAAAAGATTTTTGTAAAAAGACACTTAGATACAAGCTTAGGTTTAGTCTAAACAACATGATAAACCAAAAGCAACCGGATTTCAGAACCTGCAAACAAAAGTTCATTAGTTAAATACATTTTAAAATTTCATGTAAAACCATGCAATTAGAATTTTGATATTTTAAACGTGATCAAAACATTTTCACCACAAAAGCCTTGAAGACACAGAGTTGCAAGATATGATATATCAGAAACTACTTAAAAAAAAAAAGATATAAAGAGGAAATTGAACAATTTATATAAAAGACCAAAAGTAAGCTAAAAACAAACGAAATGGTGAGGAAGGAAGGATTGCTGAGAGAAAAAATCATGAGAATAATGTTACTAAATTTCATTCTTTAGAAAAAGGATAACAAATCATTTTGTACGTGACCAAAATGGTCTAGAAATATTATTCTTATAAATGTCCTAGAACGTCAAACATTTTGAAGGTAGTAGGTACTCCGTGACCGCCCTGAAAAACTATATGTACTCATTAGACTCATTACACAAAAAGACCAAACTCTCTATCTAATGGAAGTCAACGACGACAGAGAAAAGCTCAAGATGGGATCCTTACTCAGCTCTAGTTGGGCTGACTTGACTCGAGAATGTCTCATCGACATCTTCTCACGTCTGAGCGTAGAGCAAAGATGGATCGGACCAATGCTTGTCTGCAAGACATGGATGAACGTGTGCCATGACCCGTTATTCAACACGATCTTCGATCTCGAAACTCGGTTTCAGTCATTCCCCGAATCAATTAACTGGTGGAATCCCGAGTTTGAGGACAAGGTCGACTCCTTCCTCCGATCTGTTGTTGACTGGAGTGAAGGCGGTCTCACAGAGATTCGTGTCAGACACTGTACAGATCGCTCTCTTTCGTATGCTGCTGAGAGGTACGTATCACTAAACTAGTTAGTCTTAATTTCAGCTTCCTTTGCTTGGAAGACAAGGAAAGCTAATTGCATGATTTTGATGGAATGAATGTAATCATGGCCCTAGGATTCTGAACAATATAGATAATTCAGTAAGAGTTTTAGTTAAAAAGAATCATGTGTTTATGCGGATAGAGAGCATTTCCGATATATTATCCCTTTTACTTTAAAATTGAATAATTTCATATGAAGTCGAATGTCACCGGAACCTCAATCCGGTTTGGAATTGAAAATGGACTAGTGAATAACGAAATAAAATTATTACTCATATTTTTAAAATAATTTTACTTTACGGAATAGAAAATGAAATAGGTTTAGAAATATTTGAATAAAATTCTATTTTTGAGTAAAAATAAGTAGGGTTTAGATATGCTAAGTCTTTAAAAATTTTGAGATAAAACCAGTGTTTTACTTGTCTATGTTCTGAATGTAATGTATTTAGAATCCAAAAACTATTATTGGTAATTATGTAGTAACTTAGCTTTCTTTGCTTGATTACGTTTCTTTTAGATGATGATCAGATTGCTAAATGAAGTGGTGATATTTTTGTTCATGACTCCAATAAATATTCTGCGGTTTCTGTTTTCAGGTGCCCTAAACTGGAGGTACTTTGGATAAAGAGCTGCCCAAAAGTTACAGATGCATCAATGGCAAAGATAGCCTCAAATTGTCCAAAGCTTAAGGAGCTTGATATGAGCTACTCTTATGGCATATCTCACGTGTCTTTGGTTATGTTGGGGATGAACTGCCACAATCTTAAGATTCTTAAACGGAATCTATATCCTCGGCTTGATCCCCACATGCCTATAATCATCGCGCCACTGGACTATCTTGCAACATATCCCAAACACGCCAATGTGGAGGCTGAGGTGATTGGGAGACACATGCCTCAGCTCAAGCAACTTGAGTTTCGGTACACTACATTGACTGCTAGAGGTCTTGCTTTGGTTTGTGAAGGATGTTTGGATCTTGAGTACATGGACTTATACGGGTGTATATCCTTGAGGAGCGAGGAGATAACTAGGTGTACCTCCAGCTTGTTGAGTTTGAGAGAGATCAATAAGCCTAATTTCATGTTTCCAATGGCTATTCTACGCATGTCAAGACCGGATCATCCGAGATACGGATGATCTTCTAGCTTTGATGCTCTGCTTTCTCTATTATCATGTCAGCTTTGATCTTAAAACAATTTGGGACTCTTCTACTCTTTGTCTGAATCTGATGTTCTTTGGAGCGGTTCACTCTTTGTACCAAATGCGTTGCTTTGTACGTAATGTGTTTACTTATGTGATGAATTTTATAAATTTATGATAAACACCTAATGTGCATCATCAAAAATGAAAATTTGTAATATACATTTTGAATCCGAAGAGAAGAAGAAAACAATAGTGAATCAGCTTCATACCAAAACAGATTACGATTGTTCATTGCTCAAAGGACGTTACACTGTTATAGTTAACCAGTCTAAAACTCCTAGCTAGTGCAACGAGAATATAGTAATATAAGATCATATGTTTGATTTTTACTTGTCGTGGCATTTTTTATCTTTTATCAAATGATGTGTCTATGTATACGTATTTGATCCAAATAAAGTGAGATATCTGTGTGTTTATCTTACACATGAACTATGTATGAGATGTGTAATGGTGCAAATAATTACCAGTTTTTAGTAATGAGATTATTTAAACCGTTTTTATTATATAATGTATTTATATGTTGCATCACAAATAGTGTTATCATAATCCCATAAATTTCTTCATAAATTATTCAAACGATGTCGTTTAAGGTTGCCACTTGGCAACCTCTGGTTGATCCATGAGAAGAGGGAAAACGAAAATTGGCAAGTAACAAAACGCTGTCGTGTCAAGGAAAGTAACGAACCGACGTCGTTCTGTCACTAGTCTGAAAGGTTTTTCTAGAACTTCTATAAATTACTCTCTACGCAAGCTACTCGCGAAGTGTCACTATCCTCTCCTTTTGCCGTCGTCTCTCCCTCTCTCGTCTCAGGTAAGCTTTCTCCTCTCTTTCATAGTTGTTTCTCTCTTTGTTTCCGTTTAGCTAGCTTCGGTTTCTCCATGGCTTCTGCAGCTTGTTACTTCCGTACAAGTAGTGAACAAAGACGAAACCTTTAAGCTACGTTTTAGGGTTTTAGTTTTTTTTCGCTTAGATCTGGTTTTTTATTTCTGTTTAGTGTTCCTTTGCCATAGTGTAGACAAAAGCTTCAAGCTTGACCACTTTCTTCTCTGAAAGTTACGAACTTTTAGCAGTTTACAAAAAAAAAAAAGTTACGAACTTTACGCAAATAAAGGACTTGCCTTTGTGTTTTGCTGCTCTTTCTTTGATATCTTCTTTATGTTGTGCTTGAATCTGATGGAAAGGAACAAACTTTATACTTAAAAGAAACGCCTTTGTGTTATGTAAGATTATTTTGTACTCAAGTTTGGTTTTTGTAATTGCAGAAGATGTCTCAACACTGTCACCCAGATTGCCAACGATCAATGGCTGCCAAAGAAGAGCATGGTAACTTTCAAATGACCTAACTGTGTTTTTTTTTTTTTTTTGCGTGATAGTTACTTTGGATTCGGTTTTTGTAGATTCAGCTGAGAGAGCTGCTACGGTAGCAGCTAATCTCCTTAGCGCAACGAGGCATTTACTGAAGCTTGACCGTGAGATGACTGAGTACTCGGCTCAGTTCTTGGTGGACAACACTCTCCTCGAGGAGAAACCGGGGCAGAGTCCACACAGCTTCAGGTTGACCGCCGACGACTGTCTTGAGTATCTGGTGAAGATGGCTTCTCCCAAGACAGAGGCCGAGCTGGAAGAGATGGAAAAGCAACAGCAGCGACGCAACAAGATCACTGTCAAGGACTGCCTCGAGTGTGCATTCAAGGAAGGGATACCGAAGAGAGAGAGTTGGGCGCATTTGGGATGTGTCTCCCCTGTTCCTCCGTTTGCTGCATTCATGCCTCGTGTTCCCATGAGAGGGGAGGTGATTGAGGTTAAGGATCTTGAGGAGGTTGTTAAGTTGTCCAAGGAGCAACCGATTGGAGCTAAGCTTGTTGTGTTCAGTCCTGAGATTGAACGTGTTGGAAATGTACAGTACCTCTTTCTCTTTATATCTCTCTATGATTAGTTGATGAATAAAGTTTTGATGTATTCTTGTTTCTTGTTGTGTGGGGCCAGGGAGTTTACGTTGGTCCATCAGGTGGTGGTGGATCACGTTATGTGGGACTCAGAGATGTGATCCTATGTGGAGCAGAGAAGTTCGATGGAGATGATGTTATGAATGTGCAGATCAACTACAAGAAGGTTACTAAAATCATCAAGGTGTCATTGACTCGCATGGTTACCACACTTGCTGATGGCGACGAGTCTGATCAGACCATTGAGCCCACGGGTCTTCTTGTAGACTTCGTTGTCCCTCGCATATTCAAGTAGAAACATGATCTTAGGATCTTGGTAAGTAAGTATTTAGAGAAGACATTATGGTATGTAATAAGTTAAGACTATCTTGGGAAGTTTGTAAGAAGTTAAGTATGAAAACCTTTATATGCTAGATGTGTACCTCGTCTGTGGTGTGATGTTTAAGCTTTTGTTTAGGAGACTCTTATCTACCAGTAAAGAAGTTGTGATGACTACTTTGACAAATTTAATATCAGTTTGTTAGACCGTTTGCTAGTTAAGGCTACTAAATCATCATCCCTCGTTGCATGCTACTTTCTTAGGAAACTATTTAACAAATCGGAGATGCCATAGATCATGCATGGGTATTACGGTTAGTAGGTCCATGTGACGATTTATACCATAATTTGTTTAGTAGGTCCATGTGACGATTTATACCATAATTTTGTATTAATACTTTTCTGAGATGCACTCTCATTAAACTAAACAAAACAAGATTATTGGCACCAAAAGGAACATACAAAAATACACAATTTAAGAAACCAAACTAGGTAACCAGGACCGGCTCATTAATCTAATGGGTCCTAGGACAAAACATCTTTATAGCCAGTCTATGTTCAGTCAACATTAGAAATTTTTTTTAGAAAACTTTATAAACAAATATTTGTAAGTTTTATGATGATTTTTTTTTTTAAAACAATTTTTGGACCCTTTTCAGTCTATTTTTTATAAATATATTTAAAATTATTTAAAAATACACAAAAATAAAACATTTAATTACAATGTATGGGAGACATAGGATTGGGCTTGGGGCTATGCACTCACTGTCGCCCCTTTTAAACCAGCTATGTAGCCATGTAGGTAACAAATTTGAGAACAAATGAGATGTTTATGGTGCAGAAAAAGTGAAAAATATAAGAGTATTTGCATTAGATACACAAACAATATTAGCTAAGAAATTATGAAAGAACATTTCATTTAAGATATTGGTTAAAAATATGAAGAAATAGAATAGGCCATTCCACATTCTTCAATTCTAGTTCTAGAGTTAAAATACAATCTAGTTGCAACCTACGGTGGTAGATGGATGCAATGAAGGATCAAAGTGATCATTGACACCCTATCAATCTAAAATTAAATTTAATATAAGCATAGAACATTAGTGCATATTGATTCATTGGTTCATTTTTAAAGATTTGATCCCCTAGTTTGTTATGAATTTTCTAATGTATATATACATACATATATATTATTTTGACCCAGTGAATTTTATTTCTGACTTTGCCATTGGCAATCTATGTATATGATCCAAACAAAATGAGATACTTTTGTTTATTAAGTAATTACTATAATGTAATTATCTTTTTTTGTCACATTATAAGAATATATTTATAATTCTGTAAATTCCAACTTAAACTTCGAATGTCGGTTAATAAGTTAGCACACTTGGGAGTCTCTGGATGATCCAAGAGAAAAACGAACAGAGTCCTAAACGGCACCGTGGAAGAAAGGAACTAACCCGACGCCGTTTCCGTCAAGGGAGAGCCAGGGTTTCTAGAACCTTCTATAAATAGCTCTCTATACGTGTGAACTGTGAAAGACAATCTGCGACCCAACTGTGACCACCACCACTACCACTGATTCTCACCCCTTCGTTGTTGTCTCTCATCACTAAGGTAACTTTCTTTATCTTGTACCTCAAGTATTCGCTTATGACTTCTCTTGCATTTAGTGAACACTGATTAACACTTTTAGCTTAGCTACGATTTAGGGTTTTTTTCTTTCTTAGATCCGAAGCTTTCTTCGAATTTAGTGACTCTTTTTAAGGTCTTTACTTTATAGATCTTCTTTGTGAACTGTGAATGTGCTTGATTCTGATGGAAAGCAACAGTCTTTATTTTCTTCATACAACGAACTTGAAAGTTTTGTTTTTGTGTTGTGTTGTGATGTGATGTGTCTCTCTGATGTCGATTTACTTGTTCTGATTGTCTCTCTTTTTGATGCTAGCTTTATATACATCTTCTTTCTTTGTGTTTGAATCTGATGATGGAAAGCAACAATCTTTACACTCTCTTTGGTTTCCTATTTTGTTGCAGAAGATGTCTCGATGTCACCCAGATTGCCAACGAGCTGCGGCTGCCAAAGTAGAGGATGGTAACTTCAAACCACTAACTCTGATTTGGTTTTTGTCTGATAGTTATTATATATGCATTATTATGGTTTGTGTTTTTGTCTTTGTAGATTCAGCTGAGAGAGCAGCTACAGTAGCTGCTAACCTGATCAGCTCTGCTCGTCTCATCCTTAAGCTGGACCATGAGTTTACTGAGTACTCAGCTCAGTTCCTGGTGGACAATGCTCTTGTCGACAAGGAACCAGTACAGCAGGGCCCACAACAACGCTCCACGTTTAAAATTGAGGACTGCCTTGAGTATCTGGTGGACAACGCTTCTCCCAAGACAGAGTCTGACCTGGAAGAGATGGCAAAAGAGAAGCAACGACGCGCCAAGATAACGGTCAAGGACTGTCTTGAGTGTGCCTTCAAGGAAGGGATACCGAGATACGAACACTGGGGTCATTTGGGATGTGTTTCCAAGGTTCCACCGTTTGCTTCTCTCATGCCTCGTGTTCCGGTGAAAGGAGAAGTTGTCGAGGTTAAGAAACTTAAAGAGGCACTTCAGTTGTTGAAGCACGGACCCGTAGGTGCAAAGCTACATGTGTTCACTCCAGATATTGAGCTTGTCGGAGAACATGTACGGTGCTCTTCCTCTCTTGCTTTGATATATGTTTCGATTCTATGTACATCTTGTTGAATTGCTTCTCTCTTATTGTGTGGCAGGGAGTTTACCATGGCATTTCAGGAGCTGGAACAAGCTATGTTGGACTCAGAGATGTGATTGTATGTGGAGTGGATAGGATCAATGGAGAGTTAGTTGGGACTGTGAAGATATGCTACAAGAAGAAAACTTCGTTCATCAATGTGTCTTTGTGTCAAATGTTTACCACACTGGCGCACAATGGCGACGAGTCTAAAACCATTGAGCCAACGGGTCTTCTCGTTGACTTCATTGTCCCTCGCCTATCCAAGTAAAAACAAGATCGTGGTAAAGTATCTAAGTAACCAGATCTTAGGATCATCTTGGTAATTAAGTATCTAGAGAGAACAATATGGTATGTAATAAGTGAAGTATCTCATGAAAACCTTATGCTAGTTGTTGTTGTGTAACTCTGTTTGTCGTCTGATGTTTAAGTTTCTTCTAGGAGAGACTCTTATCTATCAGTAAAAGAAAGTTGTGATTTTTCTTATGATTAGTTTAATATCAGTTTGCTAAGAATTATTATCCCTCGTTGCATGGTATCAACCTTTAAAAACTATATAACATGTAGGGGTACAGTTAGTTGGTCCATGTGGCGAATTAAACTACTATACCATAGTTTTGTATAATACTTTTCACTTTCTCATTATTCTAGAATGGCATATAGTTAGAGGCGGCCCTTGGGCCAAGCCCATCAAGCACTCGCTTGCGGCCGCCAAATATATATAAAATTTTCGGCCACATAATTACAAAGATACACGGTGGTGTAGTGGCTAAACATAAGGGTTTAATGCGGCTGTGTCTCAATTTTTTTTCCTTTCCGAATTTACAATTAAAAAATGCTAAATTAACTTTAAAAAAAGGAAAATATGATTGACCTAAAATATTGCGATTTTTTTTTTGCCATTGTCCCAAACTCAAGTATAAGGAACCAGCCTTTTTTTTTCCTTCGCTTCTAGCCACCAAAAAGTCAGGACCAGCTCTGCATATAGTTTATTCAAAAAGAAAAAAAAAACACAAATCAAGAAAACACTAATCTCGATTACAAGTGTTGTATTAAAACATTTTATCTAATTAGGGCTCATCTCCTCCATTCTCACTAGAAATCTCTTTCACCATCTCCAAATCCAATGCATTGGGCAAAACTAAACACCCAATGATCTCCCCCAAAGTTTGTGACAGCAGGGGTTAAAACAAGATATAAATCAATCTAGAACTCACCAAGAGCCGAAGAAAGGGAAATCTAGCCTAGAAGATGAATATAAAGATAAGAAGATTCACCTTAAAGGAACAAGATTTCAATGATAAGAGATCTGTTTGAGAGCGTAAGAGAGAGAAGGAGATAAGATGAAATAGATTTTCTGGATAATTCTCTGCTCATGGCAGTCAAGGTACATAAAGGAGANGAACTCACCAAGAGCCGAAGAAAGGGAAATCTAGCCTAGAAGATGAATATAAAGATAAGAAGATTCACCTTAAAGGAACAAGATTTCAATGATAAGAGATCTGTTTGAGAGCGTAAGAGAGAGAAGGAGATAAGATGAAATAGATTTTCTGGATAATTCTCTGCTCATGGCAGTCAAGGTACATAAAGGAGATTCTCAGAAACGGTCACACTTGACTCATTAGCTGTCATTTAGAAAAATCCAAAGTGAATGGGACAAACCCCAATTTATTAAACCGAAATAGCAAAAGAGAAAATGGATAAGGACCGGTATAAAGGGCCGGTTTGATGATGACCGTTGTGACTCTGTCACACTACTCCCTGTTTCAGAAGAATCCTTGTCCTCAAGGATCAAATTGTGGATGCTTAGTGATGAAATCCTTGTAGAACTCCCAGGTTGCCTGCTCTTTAGGGTAGCCTTTCCACTGAACGAGGACCTTTGTGACCGCAGCATTGTGGTGTTTTACCACTTTCTTCTCCAAAATGCAGTCGGGTTCTTTAGAATTTCCCAAATCCTGACAGTACTGAGGGAGAACAGCGATGGTATCTGGAGGATTAGGACAGAGTTTCAACTGACTTACATGGAACGTATCATGAATAGCAGCATCAGCCGGGAGAGCCAGTTTGTAAGCAACAGAACCTACTTTCTCCAACACCTTGAAAGGACCGTAGAAACGTGGAGACAGTTTGTGAGGTACCTGTCTGTTCTTCAAGGAATGCTGACGGTAAGGCTGGAGTTTGAGGTACACATGATCCCCAATTTTGAACTCACGGTGGGAGCGGTGGGAGTCAGCATATTGCTTCATCCTGTTTTGAGCTCTTAGTAGGTGGAACTTGAGCATGTTGATGATTTCCTCTCGTTTTTGCAAACTGCGGTCAACAACAGATGATGAACTTTCTCCGGGTAGGTAAGGAAGATGGGTTGGAGGAGGTTGGCCGAAGACCACTTCGTATGGTGTGCATCTGATTGCGGAGTGGAATGTAGTGTTGTACCACCATTCCGCAAGTGGAAGCCACTTACTCCAAGACTTAGGAGTTTCAGCTGTCATGCAGCGTAAGTAGGTCTCTAGAGTCTTATTAGTGGCCTCGGTCTGACCGTCGGTCTGTGGGTGGTAGGCGGAGGAATGCTTCAAATCGACACCCTGAACTCGAAACAACTCCTGCCATACTTCACTGAGGAAAGTTGGGTCTCTATCACTGATAATGTCTTGAGGCATTCCGTGGAGCTTGAATACATTATCCAAGTAAGCTTGTGCCACCTCAATAGCCGTGTAGGGGTGGGATAGAGGTATGAAGTGTGCGTTCTTGCTCAACCTATCTATTACCACCATTATGCAGTGCTTTCCTGACGATGGTGGAAGACCTTCCACAAAGTCCATGCTAATGGATTCCCAGACACCATTAGGAACAGGTAAGGGGTTGAGTAAACCGGGTTTAGCGGCTTGATCATACTTGTTACGCTGACAAACAGAGTAGTTTCGCACGTAGTTTTGCACCTCCACATACATTCGAGGCCAGTAGAACAGAGATCTTATACGCTGGAGAGTAGCGTCTTTTCCTGAGTGGCCTCCTAGTGCCGAGTCATGCATCCATTTCAAGATATGCAACTTAACCACATGGTCATTACCAACCACTAGCTTCCATTTCCGTCGCAACTCATCATTCAAATAGGTAAAAGAGGGGTGGGAAGACTTACGTTCCTTTATCTCAGAGATAATCCGCATAAGGTTTGTGTCATTTGACCAAAGACGCTTTATGGAATCATAAAAGCCAGCATGCGATTGAGATAAGGAGATGTGTAGAAGCTGTGAACCTGAGACTCTTGAGAGGGCATCGGCTGCTACGTTTTCCTTGCCCTGCTTGTAGTGGATTTCGAAAGTATAGCCCATAAGTTTCGAGACCCACATGTGTTGGAAAGGAGTTGTCATCTTCTGCTCCATGAGGAATTTTAGGCTTTTCTGGTCTGTCTTGATGATGAACGGTTTATGGGCGAGATATGCGTTCCAAGTCTGCACCGCATACACCACAGCAAGTAACTCCTTTTCATATACTGAGGGAGCTTGATGTTTAGGACCTAGGGATCTGCTGATGTAGCAGATTGGGTGGTTGTCTTGCATCAATACTGCGCCGATACCCAAGTTCGAAGCATCAGTCTCCATGGTGAATGTCTTGCTAAAATCGGGGAGAGCCAATACTGGTGATGAGGATAGAGCCTTCTTGAGTCCTTGAAACGCAGTTGTAGCTTCAGAAGCCCAAGAGAAACCATTCTTCTTTAGAAGAGTGGTGAGAGGTCGCGCTATGACACTGTAACCCTTAATAAACCTGCGGTAGTAGTTGGCGAGGCCAAGGAAACTACGCAGTTGCTTCTGAGTAAGGGGTTGGGGCCAGTCGACGATTGATTTTATCTTGCTGGGGTCGGTACTTACACCCTCTGTAGAGATAAAATGCCCGAGATACTCTATCACTGTGGCGCCAAACGTACACTTCGAAGGTTTCAGATAGAGTTGTGCCTGTTGAAGTATCTGAAAAACTTCCCGCAGGTGGTTAAGGTGATCTTCCCATGAGTCACTGTAAACCAGAATATCGTCGAAGAACACTAGTACGAACTTCCGTAGGACTCCCTCAAACACGTGATTCATCAGGCTTTGAAACGTAAAAGGAGCATTCGTTAGCCCAAATGGCATCACCAGGTATTCGTAATGACCGGAGTGAGTCTTGAAAGCGGTTTTGTTGACATCGTCGGGTGACATTCGAAGTTGGTGAAAGCCTGCTCTGAGGTCGAGTTTAGAGAAGTATTTGGAGCCTCCCAACTCATCAAGTAAGTCTTCAAGTAAGGGTATTGGGTACTTATCCTTCACAGTCTGTTTGTTGAGACCTCGAAAGTCGACACAAAGCCTCCATGTTCCGTCTTTCTTCTTTACTAGGACCACAGGGGAAGCATAAGGGCTGGAGCTTGCTTGTATTATTCCGTCGTCTAGCATCTGGCGGACCATAGTATCAATTACGTCCTTTTGCAGTGTTGAGTATCGGTAAGGACGCAAGTTGATCGGGTTGGCTCCAGACTCAAGCGGTATGCGGTGATCAAACCCTTCTCGAAAGGGTGGTAAGACACTTGGTTCTTCAAATAAGGAAGCGAAATCCCCGAGGAGAACCTGAAGATTGTAGTCATCTTGCATATCAGTACCACTAGCTGAGATGTGGGATATGAGAGCCTCGGATTGGAGGGGTGTGTGGTGTGCAGTTGTTACATCAACAACCTGCAATAGAGCAATCTGTGGTTCGTGTAGCATTAGCTTGTTGAGTGTGTTGCCTTTTATGACCTTGCAGCCATTTTTGGTAACACCACGTAGCACGTTCTTCACGCCGTTTAGAGTGAACTCCATTCTTGGGTTTAAGAAATCCCAAAGGATGGGTCCTAGAGTGGATAACCACTGGACACCCAAGACAAGGTCACAACAATCGAGAGGGAGTGTACGAATCTCAGAGGAGTAGACGTGACCTTGTACTCTCCATTTGAAGTCACTGCATTTGTAAGTTGTAGACATAACACAACCGCTAGCAGCAGTCACAGGCATTGGTTTTATCTTCTCCAATACACAGCCTAGTTCCTTAGCAACATTCAAGTCCAGGAAGTTGTGTGTGCTTCCGTTGTCAATAAGGATGTACAACTTTCGCTTACCATACTGCCCAATAACTCGCATACAGTTGAATGTAGACGAGCCATTTAAAGCGTTGACGGAGATGACAGGTGTGTCCTCCTTGCCTTCAGCCTCAGTTGCAGGGGGTGACTCATCTTCGTCAGTATCAGATGGTGTGAGCTCTTCATCGTCATCGCACTCGAGCACAAATATCTGTAAACGTTTGTGTTTCACACTGTGGCCTGGTGTGTAAACCTCATCACAGAA